TCCTCTCCTGGAGGCTCACACCCACCTCCCTCCTCCTCTCCTGGAGGCTCACACCACCTCCCTCTTCCTCTCCTGGCACTGGAGCCCCTTGCTGCATTCCTGGGGCTGTCTTGGCACTTGCGTTTCTGTCACCTCCTCATCCTGAACATTTGCTTTTCGTTTCTCAAGAGGAGGTTCAGAAACAGAAGGAACTTGCCAAAGCTGACATCCAGAAAGTTCTAAAAGAAAAAGACCACCTGACTGCAGATCTGAACTCCATGGAGAAGTCCTTCTCTGACCTCTTCAAACGCTTTGAGAAACAGAAGGAGGTGATTGAGGGGTACCGCAAGGTAAGTCCCTGCCACCCGGTGTCTTCCCCGCAGAGGCTGGCGGGCTCACGGGCCAGGCCAGCAGGGCTGCCAGCTGCTGTCTTTGCACCTTCATCCTTGGCCAAGCCTCCCCTTGCCACTCGGGCCTGGGTGGCTTGTGAAGAGACAGGTGCAGGAGTCACAGCATAGCCAGTTTGCAAAGCACTGAGGGTTGCAGGAGGCCAGGCAAGAGGGAGGCCGTCTGAGCTCCTGCTGCTGTGCGAAGGATGACTTGGCTGTGACCAAGTGCCTGTGAGATTCGAGACTGCATGGGTGCACTGGGGCATGGGGCATCTTGGAAAGGGCGTCAAGCCTGGGCTGCTACAGCGTGACCTGGGGCATGTGGTATACAAGGCAGGAGGCCCACAGAAAGGTGGGCATGGCTGTGCCAGGCTACCCTCGTGTCCCGGCCACAGGCCTCTGAGTCCCCTCCGCCTTCTATGCTGGGCAAAGCCCACAGGCTTGCTGGAAGGAGGGATGTCTGGGCCAGCCATCTGCCCAGAGCAGACCTGGGAGGGGCCGCGAGGCCGCCAGACACTTCTGCCTGCAGCAGCAGAGCTGTAACAGAGGTGCTCACCGCCTGCCGTGCAGGAGCTGGGCCTGTGGGCACACCTGAAAGAAGGGCTGACACTGTGGCTGCAAGGGGTTGGGGATGCCAGATGGGGGCCCTGGGAGTCAGACTTGGCTAGAACAGGGGCCCTTGCGGCACCTGGCTGAGCCACACCTTCTCTCAGTTCTGATGTCAGGTAGGCCTCAGTGGCCAGGGCACAGCTGCCTAAGAGAAGCCTGAAGAATCTACAGAAGACCGTATCTTCCGCCTTAAATTGGTGCTACAGAGTTTTAAATTAGTGTCTGGCACAAAATAACCAAGTATGAAAGAAACAGGCAACACGATTGAAAATCAGAACCAGAGCCGGGCGCGGTGGCTCAAGCCTGTAATCCCAGCACTTTGGGAGGCCGAGGCGGGTGGATCACAAGGTCAAGAGATCGAGACCATCCTGG